ACTGAGATCGGAGTGGAAGGTAGATGCATCTGATTGGGAGACTGTGTGATTTCGCAAGAGATATCCATTCGGCGCGGGTGGATTTGTTGGCATTGGTGTTGTCTAAGTAGATATCCAGAGTCAATACGGAACAGCTATGGAGGGTATAGTAAAAGGAAATCAGGTGCTGGCTATTGGTAGGAAACGTACCGACTGCCACAGACTTGCCGGCCAGCAGATTCTCGTTTGCAACTTTTAGACACTTTTGTCTCTGATCCGTTTTCATCATGTTAGTCGGTGTACGCATGTATACAGAGAGAAGGATTATTTGACAGGCCAAGAAGAGGAGAGAGGCAACGTACCGTCTTGAGGATGTCTTGATTCACCCTCTCATACCCGAGAGGCTGCAAGTGCTTCCAGTAAAACGTCGACTTCCCTGATCCCGGACTGCCACATAAGAGCACCAGTTCTGTATCACTCTGTTTTGTAAAAGGAGAAGAGATCTTGTCCAACCCATCCGTCGATGGTGTATCCATGCCCATATAATTCTTGGGATCGAACACGTCGACTTCCACGGGGGCGGGCGGTTCATCCCGAAAGAACTCCTCTGGGGTCTTAAACTGTATACCAACGTTTGCAGCGAAGTTTCTTAAAAAAGGGATCAAGGTCAACTTGAAGATTTTTTTGAAATCCAGGCAAACAGAAAAAAAGACAAACAGATTTGACAACGTACCTATCACAGCAAGAATGGTCTCCCTTTCGACCCGCAGCATCGCCAACGAAGATGGAGCTTTCCAGATCCAGTGTCTTTATTGGTCTCGATGCTTCTTGATCATCCACGTCATCACTCATATCCAGTCCCAAATCCTTTACCATCTCCCTCCACATCCCCATCCTAGGCTTCCTATATTCGTCATACTGCGTGGCAGCATAAATGCTAACTGGGACATCCAAGTCCAGCGTATCCAGCATGGTCGTGATTTTCTCCTTCAGTACGGACAAGCTCTTTGAATCAGAGTTGCCTGTTTTTGCTTTCCCATCGGGTTTCAAGCTGACTGCCTTTTGGTTCGAGACGATGACAAGCGTGTAACCGTCCGCCGCAAGTTGTTTGAGTTTAGACGGGACGCTGGCATCCCACCACTTCCAGTCAGAGGCAGAGCGGGAGAACCTGGAATTGGATTTGGGCATTATAAGAGTGTGGTCCTATGGTTACAGTCAGCATTCTCGCCGTCCAATCCGGGGTAGATTGAGCCATCCGGTACATCCAAAACGGTTAGATGTTGGATAACTGAAGGTATACATACAAAGTCAAAGGCAGCAATCTTAATCTCATTGCTCTGCTCCTCTTTTTGCGTCTCGCCCTTTTGGCCAACGAGATAGCGGCCCACGATGCAACTGTTGTTCACTATGTGCCATGACACCTTCTTCGGCTGGCTGGGCGTAGGCTTCTGAGAAGCAGGTTTAAAGAAATTAGCGACTGTTTGGCCTGAAATGGTGGTATTAGTGATGATATTGGACCAACGGTAATGGGATGACATACTAGTGACGGAGGCCTCTACTTTCACCTTCTTCTTGGTTGGAGGTGAAATGGCGCGCTCGGTGCTAGAGAGCGGTCTCTTGGAGCCTGGCGAGGGCATTGTGAAGTGAGGAAATACAGCCACGACGTTAAGCTGACCGCAAACAGAGGTATATACTGCACGGTAGGCCAGCCGACGCCGCAACCACATAGATATATCATATGCTATTATTTCTTGCTGTTGATGTTGATGTCGCCCAGGCAGCCGCCCTCAAGTAACACTTTTTTTTGAGGCTGAAAAGACGAGTTTAAGCTTTCAAACTTTCTGACGCGAACGCGAAGTCACGTGCCATGAGATCCCCATTTAACCCTTTTTGGGGATCATCAACACATCAAGCCGAGCGAAAGTCCAGAGAAGAGAAGAAGGAGGTATATTACGAGAACGCTCAGTCATTAGTTGGTCGCCAGTGGTGGTGAGCTCTAAAATATTGTACAGAATCTACGTATGCCATGGCAATGGTGCATGTGTCTAGAGAGTGCCTGCTTTCACTCTGGGATCAAGAGCCAGCCTGTCCCCCGGCTCGAGTCTTATGGCTGGCCGCAGCTGCTCCTTCAGCGCCAGCATGCGTTGGGAGGTCGACCTGAGCAAGTCGGGGCTGTTGCTGTCTTGTATTGTAAAACACGCCTGCAGGACATACCCTCCATTGGAATCGAGGGGTTTTAGCTGGTCGTATGGGGGCAGACGGGAGAGAGGCTTTCCAGCATGTGATGGCTTGTGTATCTCGGGAGGAATGACGAGTATACGGTGGAGGAATAGTACTGCTTCATCGAGAACGAGGATGTTGCCTTCCACGACATATTCAGAGCAATAGCTAGAGACGTTGGTCAGTCGATCACAAGACAAAAAATGATGACAGTTAACCGAGGACGAAGAACCTACTTGAACCCCCATTCGTTCAGGGACGAGATGTAGTAGTCGGGTACCCGCGCAGAGGCCGCAAACCGCGTGGTTACTCCAGTGGCAGCTCCGGCATCAGGGACGTCCTTGAACTCGATCCTCCACTCTGCCTGGTCCTCCGCGACGCCCATCGCGCCACCGTCAGCGCTGCTGGCGGCCTTGTCGACATCGCTCACGACCTGGATATGGTACATGCCAGAGCCCAGCATCTTGATCAACCGCTGGACGTCGCTGAAGACCGCCTCCTGGCCCTGAGCCTGGCTGCCGCCGACTCGCGGCTTGATGTAGCCCGGCTTGCGGAAGGACTTGAAGAGCAGGCGGCGCTCCAGCACCTCCGTCGGCTGCATGGCGGCCAGCCCAGCGAGCTGGTGCAGCAGGTCGTCATGCTGGGCCGCAGGGACGGAGGCGAACAGGAGGATCTCATGCATCTTCTCGTCTTCTCGTCGTTCGTCGTCGTCGTCGTCGTCGCCTTTCGGCCTCCAAGTCTGCCTATCGCGGCCTTATCGCGCCGAACGCGAGCCATAGGTTCGTTTACATAAGCTCTTACCTAAGCAGCCGACCCGGCGCCGAAGACGGAACCGAACACCGAGATAAGGCCGCCGTGCCAAGCACCAATCAGCATGCGTCTTGCTTCCCTATCTCTCCGCCCGTCGCGGTTTTTTCCTTGCTCAACCTTTTCCTCCCGCTGCTTAGTCACCCGCTAGTTAGCTCCGAAGCTCAACACGAAAACTCTCGCTTTTCTCACACTTTCTTCCTTCTCAACATCTTCCAACGGCAGCAACCTCAGCGTCTGATACTTATATATCAATCCCGCCGCCTGCAGACTCAGCAAACCACAGACAGCTACCGCCGCTACAGCACCAGCAGCTCCGTCGTCGACTTCAACCAACACAGCCAATTCAAGATGCAGGCCACCACCGTCCTCCGCCAAGCTGCTGCAGCTCGCCAGCCTCTGATCAAGTTCATGGGCAAGCGCACCGTCCCAGGTATGCTCGAAAAGGAACCCCTCGGTGATGCTAGAGGACTTGTTTTAGCTGACTGACTGCTGCTAGCCTCCATTGACCACTCTCCTCAACCCCATCCCGCCTCGCCAACTCACCAGCTCCCCGACTCCTTCGTCACCTACCGTGCCAAAGCCCAGCAGCATGGTCCTCTCAACACCACATACCGCCCCTTCTCCAGCATCGGAGCCTCCTCGGGCGCTGCCCTGGGCCCTGTCGCCCCCAAGAAGGGCGAGTACTTCGACCGCAACGACCTCCCCGCCAGATTCAGACGTGCTCCCTGGTCTCAGGCTGAGATCGATGCCATTGAGACCGGCGGGGCAAGCATGTTCGCTTGAATGGTTCCCCGATCTTGGCTAATGGCACATTCATTTTCCTTTACTGTAGCCTTTTTACCCTCTTCCAAGACAAGAATGGGTTGGACGGAATGATGGAGCTTACGATGCAATACACTGCCACGACATATACCCACCTATCTGAGCTGGTTTCGACAAGGGGATATATAAAACACACTAAACCCCATACAACACACGACGCCTGTATACGTCCGACTGATCGAGTAAGGAGATGCGCTCTTTTCCACTCTCTCGGATCATTATATACTGCCCTTCACAAAACAAGAATTATGGCACAACTGCACGAGAACGAAACAACAGAGCAGCAGCTGCACGGAACAGCTCAGCATAGCATTACAGCATGGCAATGAAGCGAACGGAACACCACACGGAGCAACACAGTCTTCCCGTTTCTACTCCTCTCTTCTCATTTCCTTTTTTTTCCCTCTTTCTTTTTACTTTAACCTGAAGCTTGGGTATTCTCAGCTTATCGGCGCTGGACGGAGTTCATCACTTTTGTTTCTCGTTTCTTTTTCTTCACCTCCTTTTACAGAGTTCGTTATCTCTGGTGTTGGGAACTGTCTACTTGCTTTTTCCATGGTTTGGTTTATGGAGGGGCCTTTGGTTGGGCCTGGTTGGCCGGCTGGATTTTTGAGCGACAGCGGGCGGGCTGCTGGCTGGTGATGGGGGGGCGGGCGGGGGGACTCGGGCAAAGCTGCACTGTACTGTACCACCTTTCAACTGTACTTACCTGCCTTTTTATCCTTTTAATATGCTACTTAACTAGTATATCATTCACTCGCAACCCGTCTGCCAACCTCCCAGCTTCTTCACCGTCGGCGTTCTAGCCTCCGATGCATCTCCGGTTTCCAACCTCGCCGCGGACAGACGGACAGATATAGTCCCGAGCATGAGGTGATCTTCGGCGTTTTCTCTGCATGCAGGCCACCACCTCCCCCTGTCCTCCGATTCCTTGTATCCCGAACATCTCGCAGCGTATATATATGTAGGTAGGAACAAGGGGGGCGCCGCCTGCCTGAGCACTTTGACCACCGTCTTTCCTTGCCTTCCACGGTCTATCCGGCCCTGGTCTGTCTTGTCCCTCTTGGCCGTGAGCAAATGTATGAAACCCAAGCATTGATGATTGCATAGATATTAGGCTCTCTCGCTTCTCGCCCTTTTGGTAGCTTCCAGCCTAAGCAGAACCAGCAACCGGCCTTTCTTCTTAATCCCTCTGCTCTGCCAATACGAGGACGGCCGCGCTCGTCTTATCTCTCGCCCATAGCTCCCAGCTTTATCTAGCTTTACCCCGGATTATTTCTATACATAGTAGCCCGTTGCGTAATTTTTAAGGCTGTCTGGAGCTCTCGCGCTGGATGAACCATGGCTGGCCACGCTGAATGCGGCCATCCCAGGGCCATCCCAAGAGACATCCAGACTGTGCTCTCCCCTATCCTCCGCCCGCTTGTGGCAACCCCTAGAGCGTGGATGTTCTGTAGATGCTCCCCGGCGCTTGACTAAGTTCGCTCTCTCGGCTGGCGAAAAAATAGTTAAGGGCCAAAACTCGGCCTGCTCGACCAATATGCAGTGCCAACTTCAAAGCAGAATCTCTTCAGCCACACACTCGAGCAGAAGCTTCGTCTCATCCCTGGAAACCAGCCTTTGCCCTCGACCTTGCTCATAAATAAGACACCAATCACCGGCAGGCCTGGTAGCTGCGGTTCCGTTTTGATGGCTCCAGTCACGGCACCAGAGCTGATCGTCAAGGAGACGAACGAGATCGGGACGACGGTCAAGACCTATCTCTGTCCAAGCAGCAGGCTGCGGTCGAAGCGCCGGCCTGAAAGTGTGGAAATTATTGTATGTTATCCTGTTACAAGCCTGGTTACCGAAACTTATACCAATGCTTGATTTGCGGTTTATGGGTGCTGTGGATGTTTGTGGATGCACCTTGAGTGTTGATGGTGATTTGATATACACTCGACATTGTCATTTCCTCGCAGCATGCAGTGAGGCCCATGCCATAAGATGTATCATAGACGTATCATATGCTGGAGAAGGATGTTGCTCATACTTGACATGCTGAAGTCGATGCTGACCTGCTGCAGTTGCCGCCAAAACTGCCGTCATCAACCTCCTACCTAACCTCCATCCTGAACGTATTCCTACCAGCCGGATACCCGCACAGCGTCACAGACGATTACATTGAGTAAGTCTTCTTCATTTTGACTGTCGTGGATGCCTGGCTGACTCTAGACATCCAGGTATCAAATCTATGTTAGTCAATAAACAATGCTGCTTCGGAATGTCAGACAGAACATGAAGTTTAACCGCCGTATACTAGGACTCCCTACAAGCATTTTCAAGCTCAATTGCAGGCCTCCTGTCATCCAGAGCAGTCCTTCAAGGCATGCATTCAGCCTTATAGACCTTTGAGAATCTTGTACTAACATCTCTCAGGCGTCGGTGTCGGAGATGCCACCGCGTCTCCCACGGCAGCCCTGCTTCTCAATGTCCTGCAGGAGAGCATGGGAAGGATAGCCACCATCCTGTTTGCTCATCGTCTCGGGACATCACTCGAACCAGAATGCAAATTGTACAGGCTGGCCGCCGACATTCTTAACGATTCAGCGATGGTGCTGGACTGTTTGTCCCCCATCTTCCCTAAGCCTGTTAGGGTAGGTCTTCTCAGTCTTTCCAGTGTGCTGAGGGCATTGTGCGGTGTTGCAGCTGGTAGCTCCAAGGCCAGCTTGAGCGCTCATTTTGCAAGATGGGGGAACCTGGGAGAATTGAATGCGGTAGGACTAAATATCCAACAGTCACAACTGACAGGGTGAAGCTGATGGTGATTGAATAGAAAGATTCAAGTCAGGAAACCGTTATATCTCTCGCTGGAATGCTTGTATGCACTCTTTCTTCTTTTAATCAGTGCCGGTTGCAACTGAACATAACTAAGGAGACATATAGGTTGGCAGCGTAGTGGTTTCATACATCACGTCACCACTAGAAACGTGGATTGCCTTGATAATTTTACTCATCGTACACCTGGGGACAAACCACGCCGCAGTCAGAGCAGTCAAAATGACAACTCTGAACCGCCAGCGTGCCAATATTGTCTTCTCCTATCTCTTTGAGGACGACCGAGTCCTCACGCCAGCAGAGGCTTCAGAGGAAGAACGAATCTTCGAGAGAGATGGTGTGCTCCGGTGGAATGCTGAATCTAGTGGTATTCTGGGAACCTGTCAAATTGGAACCTCCCTGGAGCAGCTACTACTACTCCTACCTGAACAGGCTGATAGAGGAGGCGCCCTAGAGACCGGCCAAACGAGTAGCACAACTATGAACACCAGTACCAATCTGACGGCTCTTCTCGAACTATTCAGGGAAGAGGAGTACATCCTCTACTTTGACCCCCTGTCCCGCAGAGGGGCCATCGTTCTAAAGGCCGGAGCTACTGCAAAAGCACAGCTGAAAGCATGGAGTCATGCGCTTCTTGTTTCTCGACATCTGGCTGGGAAAAATAGCACAGCTACTTGCAGACACGAGAAACAAGACGATCAGGGTGAGCTGTCACCATCGGTGTCGGTACTATCTATTTTGAGAGACACGCTGCAGGAGCATACGAGGACGTTTAAGGGCAGGGTCAAGCGCCTCGAACATGCTGGCTGGAAGACGGACGTCGCCTCCCTGGAGACAAAGCCGGGAAGGAGAGTTCACGTATCCGTTTGAGCTAACAGATAAGCTGTACGTAAAGTTGCAAACGAGGTTCCTTGGAGGAAGTAGGGAGGTCATCCTTCAAAGGACTGCTAATATCGCTAGTCAATCCCAGGTGAATGGTATAATATTAATTCCAACCATTCTAAGGGGGTTCCCAGGTACCGGGACCTTGGATATAATGTGTTTCCTTTTCTCTTTTATTTATTTACTTATTTTCAATTTCAGCTGCTTCTTCCTGGGGTATCTCAACTAGTCGAGACAACGGCAGCCCTGCTGGCCGGTAACTCACTAGGAATTAATAACAAACAACATGGCAAACGCCGAGTGGCCGGGTCCATCTTCCATCCCATAAGAAGACAGCTGCAGGTATCGGAAGAAGAAAAGGTCCTCTTCCTGCATAGGCGAGATGAAGGGCGGCGTCTCTTCCCTTATCTGCTGTACGGAGTATACGCCGTATAAAATTCTTCCTCTTGTCTCGTAGCCGACCAAGAAGGTACTTGAAGCCCCTAATCGGGGTGTCTTCGCTACCAATCGCCGGATTAGGTAGTCCAATTCAACTGATTTCTTTTCGGCGAAGAAGAAAAGATACAAAGGAAGATTATGATGACGATGACATGCAGTTCATTTCCTGTATGCATCTCGTGGCATCAGGATGCATGGTTTATATTGCTGCTCCTTCCCTAGAGGAAAGACGGAGGCAAAGGCGAAGGGTCTGGCTGCGTGCCTTGCAGCCGCGCATGGCCACATGGTTATTATATATAAACAAAAATGTCTCTTAATATATGTATGTCATTGATTCGCCCATGCAAGCGATGTACACCAGATCTAGAATATGTTAAACCCCAATGCCAACGAGCCTGTAATGTCTTACAAGCCCAGATGGCCTTGAGTCCTACTGTTGAGCAGTGCGTCGTATATGCTGTTTGAAATATAGATGTCAGTGACGCAACGCTTCCCACCCGGCTCGCCGTGATCGTCAAAACATCGATCAATCACGGATCATAAACATGGATCCATAGAGAGTGGAATATGGAACCACCGATCTTTCAACTCAACTTAGGCATGCGTCAGCCCTTCAGCTGCAAAAATGACAGCGGGAGAGACGACTCCATAACCCCCATATGCCCCATGATTGCGCTGCTGAAACGGCGCCGTTCCTATCCAACCATCTGGTTATAGTTGCATGAACTAGCAGCAAGCATCAACTATCAATCTCGCACCATCAGGTCGCGGGGTCACCAGAATAACCCTCTCCAGGGTTTGGAGGCCCACGCAATAAACTCCTCCCCCAGACATAAACACAGCCCCTAGTCTGTCGGCATCCTGGGCCGTTGATCCGCGGCCAATAGTGGGCAGCAACTATCAGGGTGGGAGGGATAACCATGACAATATTTGATGGCACTAGTTGGGTGATAATGTGATTGAAAGTGGGCTCAGGGTCGTGTTCGACAAGAAAACAGCTATATATATACACACAATGAGCATATGTGTATATATACAACTAAAACTGTAACTATGCATGGTGGGAGAGGCAAGGGAGAGAACACCGGCAGTTCCGGCAACCCCGGAAAAGTCAACAAGCGCCGAGGGATGTTGTATCCATCCCGTTCGATGATGACATTGTGTATCCTTCAATATGGGTTAATGGTATAACTGGCAGGGAACGGAAGACCAAGAGACCAGTCTCCGAGTCTCTCTATCACACTCTCTCAACCGAGACGTAGAAGATCGGGTAGAAGTAAAAAGACGGTCAAGGGAGGAACGCCACAATGAGCTGATGATGGCCATAAGCAACCACCGCTATAGCTGGCTAACCCATCCGCCTACACTAGGACTCTGATAGTTTCAACGGGTTCGCCATCTCCATCCACCCATCCAGTATCAAACGTCGTACGAGGGAAGGAAGACAAGTTACCCCAGATGCTCGTCCTCCCCGCAAAGCTTGGCCATCTAGGTATCTTCTTCCTTTTTCCCAACAGCAACCTTCTTGGCCGAGCTTACCGGGGATCAAAACTGGTCAATCATGGGCCTGGAGGCAAGCGTAGGGAGTATTGCTCATTTCCAGGTGTTGGTTCATATACATTAATAATTCCAACAGCTGAGTCTCCTGCGTGTGTGCGTGTGGTCAATGACAAGCATCCTCTCTCTTGGCCATCCATCCCGTCAGCTTCTTGCGGCCCGATGAACACGAGAAGTATGTATCAGGGTACTCTCCTTGCTTGCCCTTGCCATGCTTTTGGGCCGAGGGATGGAGAAAGGAGCGAAGGAGGGTCATCCTGCTTCGCTTTCACCTCCCTCTTGTGTCATTCCACTTGATCAAATCGAATGTCGCCATGTCATCATCATCTGTAGTCGCCCACAAATACGACGGACTGGTATTGAATTTTTCTAGATAGATCCAATCCTCCCGGCTAATAATGGGGAACTGGCGATAGGGCGCAAGTACTGCTCCCCATACACACCCTTTAGAGTGGCAGATTCATTGATAGTAGCGTATATCTCTTGAATATACGCCAGACTAGAGTCGCAGTAATTGATCCACGAGATGAAGAAGCTGGAGAAAAGTCGGACATGTGATACTTGATAGCCAGGATCTACCATGTATAGTCCACTAGCAAGCGCGAAGATATCAAACTGATTCGGATGGAGCCATGACGGTGATCGATCGACCTTAATAATTCGAAGATTTTAAGTCTTAACCTTCTTTCTCTTGTTCTCTTGTTTCTCCATGGCGATGGCGACATCTCAACTTTTCTCCCCTCTCGTTTCTGCCTTACCGACGACCATCGCTGGCTTCAAACATCGAACCCCTTACCGAGCAGACGGGTCTTGTGACGATCTCATTCAACCTTCCCCCGGATTCTCCAGGGAGAGAGAGGCAGGCCAACGGACGCATCGGGAACCACCGACAGCTACTAGTTCGGTTCTTAACCGCTTGAAGCGAAACGAGTAGTCGGTGTCTATTATTAATAATAAGTAGGAGGGAAGCGCGGACATGACGCCGGCGATGACCCCTTTGAGGCATCGTTGGTATTAAAAGAGACTCCTGGGGAAGTGCACGAATCTTGACTCAGGCGACAGAGAGATTTCTTCTGCGTCTGTAGCATTAACTCCTCTCTGGCACTTGCAGAGGCTGCTCGAGAGCCCCTTTGCACGTATATCAAGGCGGCGCCTCGTCCAGACAGAAGCCGTTGACCGAGGGCCCAAACTCCTCACGGCCCCAAATTCAAGGGGACGACGAAGTAAATCATAATAGATTATGTTATTTATAGCATCAACCTTCACAGGAAGGGTCATACTGTTGCTTCTTCATTGTCTGTCTTTTTTTTTTTTTTTTTTTTTTTATGGCTGCAGCTTGCCTGAACGCCGTTTTCGGAGCAACCAAGCCCTGCGTCAAGCCTGGGAACCTTCGAGCCTGAGGTGCCCAATGAAGGGGAGAAAAAGAAAGAAACTCGTATAGTGCTTGAATAATCAATTGGTAAGAGGCACTGATGCAGAGGCAAAAGGACTGGTAAAAAGCAAAAGGGGGCTTCTCTTGAAGAAGAACGCCTTTTGCCTGTTTGAGTCAAGAGGCAAGCGACCACGAAGAATTATTCGACCGGAAGCCAGCCCCCGACCCAATCAAGCGGACATCTAGAGTCGAATTCGAGAGATCGTGCATTAGACCAGTAAGAAAGGGACGGCTCAAGGGCCGAGAAGAAGGAAGCAGCAGAACCACAGAGCAAGAGCAGGAAAAGATCCGGATAACATATCCTCTTAGGGGAAGGATGATCTAAATCAGTCGGGTTTATCCCTTTTAAAAAATTATCCTTAATCTTTTCACCTTGACATGAGTTTGAAGGGGGTTACTTGGTGGTTTATTTTCCTCTCGCAAAAATAAACTGTTTGCCAGCATCAACGGATTAAACAGATAGTTAAATCGGACCCGTCGATTTTCATTTTTGCTTGCTTGCCTGACTTGAGTTTTTCACCTGGTTAGCTCGGGCAAAGCCGATGGCAATGTTTGTTGTCAGAGTATTGCGTGTGTGCGTGTTTGATATCAATAGTCTCGGAAACGAGATCGGAATAGACTCTGTGTTTGGTATCCTTGACGTATATAGGAGTCGATCTTAGCGACGTCAAATATTGAAATTCACTTCGGCCAACTTGTTTGTTAGCCTGGAGGCGAAAATAGAATAATTGAATAAACATAAACAAGACAGCAATAAAGAGAGATAGACTCGCCTAGTGACGGATGTGGTGATGACGATGAAGATGACGATGACGATGGAGAGGGGGACAGCGATGATATACAAGGTGGGTACAGTCTAAGTAGAAATATGTGCACCAGCGATTAAAAAAAAATCTCTGCCGTTGAGCTACTCCGTATTGGCATGCAACATATCCCCCGGGCCGGGCGTATAGGGCTGGACGCGTATTGTTTGTCCCCGTCTCCCGTGGAGTACCGCAATATAAGTATAGTAATTACTTGATTTATGACGGTGCCACCAGCCCGCTAGCCGCCTGGGAAGAAAACCCTTCGGCGGGAAGTTGTCAATAGCCGTAGAAAAGCACGGCCAGATAGTGGCGAAAAAAGGAAAGCAGAGATTTTTCATAAAGAGGCCTAGATGGAGTAGAGCCGTTAGTAGTTGGCTAGCCAGCTAGCTAGGTGATGGCGAGAAGCCGCAGAACTACCTTGATGTCACTTCTCTGCTTCCCTTCCCCGTCGAGGACATCTCAAGTTCGACCGGGAGAAAGGAGCGGCGAGTCCCGAGGAGCTGTAACTGGCCAACCACCCTCGTCACTTGGATGCATGTGCTAGAAGGATTCTAGAAGGACAAGCGGACAGGGACAAGGGTGAAAGGGCGGGAGTTGTCTTCCAGAACCTTTCTAGAAGGGAGATTGCGGCCTTTTCTCCCCTTCCCTTTGATCGCTTGGGTTCCTTACACCTTGCTGTACGCTGTGTAATATAATACCGACAGGGGCTCAGGGGGTGGAGAGCGAGGGAGCCTGTGAGATGCTCAGCCAACGATGTTGACGGAAGAGACATCCACCACCCCCATTTTCGCTCCATTCTCTGGCCCTAATACCAAGCGGCATGTTAATACTCTTTTGAAGGGGAGGGTGGAGGGTCAAGCTTATCTGTGAGATGTTGGAATTATCCGTTGAGCAATCCGGAGACTATGTTGGTAGTGTGAGCTATACGGAGAGACACTCCGTCAATGGTGCTTTGGACGCTGATGGAGATGCCCCAGTGCGGGCATTTTCTTTTAATCGAGAAAGATTGACAGCCGTCTCCTCACTACCATGCCAATCGGCGATTTGGTGGAGGGAACATACACGGTCTCAATTACGAAATAGTTAACCATCCCGCTACTGGGACGAACAGAATAATCTATCTCAGACCCCTATGATCCCACTTTCTGGATGGATACTCGAGAGGCCAAACGAGAAAGAGGGAGAGGGAGAGAGAGAAGTCAAACCCTTGTTTGTTCTAGGGGGACAGCGCGATTTATTTTTGCATATCCTTTTCAGATTTTTTCCCCCTTTCCCACTGCGGCCCACGTTGAGGATGCAGGTCTCTTTGTTGGAGGCTGTCCGTTGCCGCCAGCGTCGAAAGACGGCGTATGATGTGGTTTCCATGCATGGCCAGCACGTAGCTACCTGCTGGCCCCTTTTGAGCGGTGTGGCTGCAGCACGATGTGGTTGCTGCTTGCTGGCCGATAGAGAGACAGGAATGCCCGATGCACGATGCCATAGCAGACAGTTTTGGCTCTTCAACGTCAGCCTCAAGGAAAGGCGCCGCCATGCATATCGCTTAGACAGGACGGCTCCTGATAATTGTTCGCAGTACGGAGTCGTACGTATGATGTATGGTTTTCCCGTATCAAGGCGCTGGGCGGATACACGCCTGAGATTCCGACGCCGACATTAGTCCCCATGGCACTGGTACGCTACGAATGCAGGCCTTGCATGTACAGCGCCTAGGAAGCGAAGCCGGAAACTCGCCCTTTTGCCCACCCCTCCTTGTCTGCTCGTTAGTGCGACTGTTTAGCTGATAGTATAAGCATAAGTTGTGTTTATCAAAGCTCTCCCTTGTCACTCCGGAAAGTCTCTTGCTCCGTGGGAATGTGTTGACAACGAGTAGAGTGAGTCGTAAGCAGTTGTTATACGGAGGATATGCAACTGCTCTCTGGATGGCTCCTGATGGGCCGCGAGATCCGGGCCATCGCGCATGGATCTCGATTGTATGGAGCATCTGTGACATTATACCATGACAGCGCACACAGGAACACGCATCCACGCATTGGGGGTGTTCCATACACTCCGTAGTAGTGTTTACCTCCCCCTTCTTCTGCTTCGTCCGTTTGTCTGAATGGGATGGGTTCCCTTTAAACTGGAGAACCGTCTGAAACAAGGGGCGTAACGTCAACCGGCCGGACATTTTTAGATCAACAAAATTCCCCTATCGGCCAACACAACGCCTTTTGTACATCGACTGACATCATGCTCTGCATTATCCGACGGGTCTTCTCTTGCTCATCGTCGCGGGGAGGAGAACAAGCGAAAGGAGAAGGGGAAGACTCGCCACACAGCATCCACGCCCTTCATGATAGTTTCACAGCTGCTCTCCCGAACAGTCTTCATGCATGGAATCTTCTTTCTTTCGCCGTTTTTCCCTTCCTTTTAAGATAGTAGCATTTTAGCTATGCATGAGTGGGTTTCTTTTATTTTTATCCCCCCATCATCGGCGCATATATATAGTTGTAGTAATGATTTGTTCCGTGTGTGCGTGTTGTTGTGCTCAAACGAGGTCAAGATGACGATAGTTGTGCCCAGGAGATCGGCGGTATATCTCTTTCTCTCCCTCTCGCTCCCTGGCCTGATATCCCAGAAGGGGCAGAGAAAGCAGAGAACAAAAAGCAACGAGGAGCAAAAAAAAAAGAAACGAGAAGCAAAAAGGACGATCGGCAGCCCGGGTAAGGATGTCATCGATGCTAAAAAAGAAGTCAAAAAGTAGTCTCTTTATTTTTTTTGCGTCGCCGACGGCGCCTATAGGTGCTTGTCATAGCCATTTTTTAATAATTGTCAGGCTTCATTACTCTCTCCTTCTCGCTCTTCCCTGGAGTTAACGCCGACATCTCGCTTCGAGCTGGTGAGAGTTCGTTAGCTTATTAGGCGGTTTACGGTGAACTGTCGATGATGAATCTGGCATGTTAAGTCAGGCCACCGTTCTTCATCATCCACCGCCATCAGGATGAAGCAAACGAGACGTCAAGAGGCATTGCATCTCTTTCTCTGGTTCCAATAATGGAGAAATGGAACCCTTGCCCGGTCTCTTCTCTTGCTTTTACCCTGAAGGTGACTTGGCAGGCCATTTTTCCTCTCTGGGATTTTCCTCTCTGGGATGTACATAGTCATGGGCGGTGTTAGTACGACTTGTATGTAACGAGATGCTGTGAGACTCGCTCTTGTTGCCCTTGTTGATATAGTTATCCCCTAAGTACGGACTGGGTGCTGCGTAATCTGCGGTACTTTCTCAGTTGTCGACGATGTGCATGCAATTTATTATTATTTTTTGAGGCATCTGCGCGGAGCATCACCAGGTAGCCTTTTGCTGATAGTCTCGTAGGTGGTTTCTGTGAAGCTTATGGCCTGATCCTAGCTTTACTCTTTTTTTACCCGCCAGATTCAAAACCGAGCTCATGGCATGAACTGATGTGCAAGAGGGATAGAATGTATCTTTTTTATCTCTTTCGTTTGTTTTTCCTCCGTCGTCTCGGCGCTTGATTCTTCATAAAGGCCGTTGATATACACCTTGAGCTTTTGGCTCTTATTATTCGCTGGCGGTGCAACGACAGCACTGCTGTGGCTGTGACACTGCTTAGACTTGCCTGGGCCTTGACGACCCGTGGACCTGTTCGAAATGGGTTCGGGTCTTATATATGTTTATTATTTTCTTTTCGATGTTGCACCTCATGGGGGACCTAGGGTGTGGGTTGGCTTTCGCTGTCCTTTTGATTGCCTGCTCTTTCCCACCCCTCACCCCCCCCCCCCCCCCCTTTAGACAGTTTCGGTGCTACCACGTAAAAAAGGAAGAGGATAGGATGATAAGCGGGAGTGTAAGAAGGAACATAAAAGTGGGATGATGAACGTATGATTCCTGGGCGAGGAGAGGAGTTAAGTTAATTAGTAGTCGTCCTGTGCAACCGGAAGCAGCCCTGACAAGGACAAGAGAGATGCAGAACAAAAGGAACCTCGACCTGGAGAGCGAGGACAGGTAGACGGACAGAGCAAGGTCCCCAGGCGGAGTTCTAGCCAGCTGGTGGAAAGGTGGAAGCCGGTCCCGGTCAAAATCTTCAGGATAGTTACTCGAAGTTTCTGCTGCTTTTCTGGCGTGGTTTTCAGTGGCCGTTTGTCTTGTTGAGGGAATATATCCCCATCCCATCTCAATCCCGTATATTCTTCCTCAACGGAGCAGCCGGAAGCACCAGGAAGGTGAGTTGTGATCGAGAGGACCAGCAGTGAAGAGCAGAGAGCATGTAATATCTCATCTGTATATCTCCACTTGCCGCTGTCTATTATGCATGAAACAGACTCAGGTACGACCAAAGCGAAAAAAAAGCAACAGCTTCTCTCTGTCTCTTATTCTCTCTAGGCTCAATCTTTCTGTTTTGCCCTCTTTTCCTTGTCTTCTTCTGGAGGCTCCTCCTCCAGGCTTGGTCATTGACCCTCAAAAAGGTAGCCCTCGAGCTTACCTGTTCCCTCCTGTTTTCACGGTTCGTGCCAGTCGATCGTTGGCGTCACACTTGCGGGTGGCATCAAGCACAAACTGTAAATCCCTTGCTGACGATCCGTTTAGAAGAAGCAAATACAAGTCCAAAGCCCAAAAAGAGCCCAAGAGAAGGAGAGATTCTTCTTCGTCTTCTTTTTGCTTCCGGGGTGGCGACCGTAAATGTCGGCTTGCTGGGCTGGCTTCTTCTGGCCCCCCTTGCTTTTTCCAACCTTTCGCTGGGAACTGGGCTTTCCCTCTACCTTTTTTTGTTTTTTTTTGTTATTATTTGCTTTTTCTCCTCTCTGCTGCTTCTCTCTCCTTTTCAAACTCTGGAAACTCTGGAAAAGAGAGAAGAGAGTTAAGGCCAGAAAGTGATTATATATCGCTGGTTGGTAGGCAATATAGCTTATAGGCTTTATAATCGAAGTTTGAAAAGCAATAATAAATCTGGAACTCTTCTTTAGCAATTTCCTAGAAGGTGAAAAGAATCCCCTTACCTGACTCATGGCTTGGTCTAAGTAGAGGCAACAGCAGAGCCAGCAGCGAAAGGGGGAGAGCTGCCGGTCGAGTCGCCGGTGCATCCTCGCCCTGGCCCTTCTCATCTCCAACTCGTCTGCCTCTGTTTTTTTTTTTTTTTGTAAATTCTCGTCCTGCAAAAAAAAAGAAGACGTCCCATCCTTGCAGGCGGCAGAAGCAGGGCTCCGGGGTCATACAGGGGGGTCTCCTGCGGTCTCTCATGCTCTGGTCTGCGTCTCCTCGCTGTCTCGCTGGCTGCCCTCGTACCAAGTCGATACAAGTTTAGTTTACCGCACTAGGAGAAAAAGCAACGAGGAAAGTAAATAAGAAAAAGAAACGACGAGGAAGCAGACGAAGAAGCCTGGGTGGAGCATCTCTTTATAAGTATCTCTCCACTGTGTTTTGCGAGTCAGGGTACTTTTGGCCGATGGGGGTTGGTTGAGAGGTCGATGATGGTCGTCGTCTTTTTTATACATAACTAGAGAACAGCCGCCGCCTTTCTTCGTCTTCCCGCCAACAACACCACAACAACTACACCTCTCATACCACATACAACGACCTCCAGCAGCCAGCAGCCAGCAGCCAGCATACAAGACGCTGGACCTGGCCTCACATACTTGAAAGACGGACATACTCATGCGCCGTGTTTACTCCCTCGTTGACTAGATCTCTGGGTTGACGCTTCCGCCCATTGAACATTGAACACTGAACACTGAACAGAAACTCCCATTCCACCGTCCGCCAGAGACGCCTCGCCCAAGAGAGACCATCCAGATACCACTCGTAACCCTGGCCAGCACAGCCTTTCACGTCAGAAGCAAGGGGGAGGGGGAAGGGAAGGCCAGAGTGTGGAAAGATATCCGGTCCAGAGACACCAGCAGCCGGTCTAGCAGCAGCAACACCAACAACACGAAGAAGCCAGCCGGCTGTACCACCAAGGGGATGCCATCCTGCGGCAGAGGCTCGCGCTACTCAACTATCACCATCACTCCGTCAACCTGGAATCCAGGTTTCACGCCAGACTCATCTGCCTACAGCTCGCCGGCGCCCTCGGTCCTCGACTCGGACGAGGAGAGGGTGATGGACGGCTGGCACTTCTCGCGGCCGTCTAGTCTGGCGCTTCCAGGTGGCCCGCTGCTCTCCCGGCCTACGTTGGACGATGTACTCTCAAACACCGCAGCTCCTCCCTACACGCTCGCTGCCTTCATGGCCTACCTTTCGCAGAACCACTGCCTCGAGACGCTCGAGTTCACCATGGACTCCAAGCGCTATGCTGAGACATACAATGCCGTCTCCCGCCAGCTAGGCGAATTCCCTATTCTCTCAGACTCCCCGCAAGCAGACCATCTTTGCATGCTCTGGCATAGGCTGCTCTCCGCCTATGTCATGCCGGGATCTCCCAGGGAGATCAACCTTCCAAGCGCCGTCAGGGATGCCCTGCTGAGACACTCCAATCTCAGAAGACCTCCGCCACCCGAGACGCTCGACGCTGCTGTCAAGCGAATTCACGACCTTATGGACGAGTCTATCTTCATTCCCTTTCTCAACAGCCACGTCTCGCCCCAGTCACAACCGAGCTATTCCCGAGATGGCTCTCCCGAGGACCGTGAAGTCGGCCGTCACAAGTCGATGCGCAAACGGCTATCACCGCAGTCGTCCTTTGTTACCTCGCCTCGCTCCGCTGCTCCTCCTGGAAGTGGCTATTTCTCATACCATTCTTCTTCAACCCCATCTACTAGCCCGCCTTCTCACCACACTTCCATCTCCAGGACAACTACCACCAGCAGCCGCTCCTCTCCCTATGGCTATGCCAGTGGTGATTCCGTCTCAGGCACTCTGACAGACGACTCCGGCAGCAGCCTGCCTTCGAGCCCCGGTGCAGGAGATCCCATGACTCCGCCCACAACCCCGCCGTCTAGTGACATGCACCATCCCCACCATCATCATTCCAAGAGCCGACAAGACAATGCCTGGAAGAAGATGGGCATGAAGCTTGGTTGGAAAAAGAAGTCTGGTGGCAGCAGCGCCGGTGGTCGTGGATATTCAACTACCTCAACCTCCAGGGACACACGATATCAAGATGACATGTATTAATCTTTGCTCTTTCCTTTCTTTTTCCTTCTGCCACTTTTTAGCTTCTCACGCTCTCCTGCTCTTCGCCCTCGCCCTACCATGTCCCTACCATGTCCCTTCCATGCATATGGTACATTCACGGGTCGACCGACCTATACATACACATCATTTCCATTCCATCCCAGACACGACCGGAACGAAAGGCATATCAAGAAACCCTAACGACTTTCCCCCCATTCTTCGCCAAAAGCAAAATATTATCAAATCCGGACCGCTGGCGTGGTTCTAGACCTCTCTTCTCTTCCTCTTCTTATACATACTTGACCATTATTTCTTCTGTCTGACTATTTTATGGTTATTTCCTTGCTTGCACTGTACGGAGTTTATACCCATGGCCATGGCATTGAACATTCAGCATTGTTTTTCTTTTTCTCTTCTCCTTATTTTCCTTGTGTTTACAGCGAATCCATGGATGGAGAGCGTGTATTATCTTCTTTCTCTTAACACGACTGAGCATTTGCTTCATTCGCATTCTCATCAACCAATGTATCTAACTAGCTTCACTTCCTCACTTCCCTCGCGACCTTGTCCGTTACAAGGTTCCGTTTGCCCTGCCTTGTCTCTTAGCTAGGGCAAGCCAATATGACTTGATGAAATGACTAGCATCATCCTTGCAGGCATACCGTGTGCTTCTTTTCCCACCCCCTTGCACATCCATACACATATGTAATGTAATGGAGACATACGTAAGAGGAAAGGAATTACACCACTCTCCCACTTTTCGCCGCTGAAGCTGCACGTACGTAATATACAGGGGCCATCTTATGCATCTCAACTGCTTATTCTCCTTGCATCGCAGCAAGGTAGGCAAAGAAGACAACCCCCAAGGCACCTCTGTAAGCGACATGCAGATTAGGTAAGCTCAGCTGGCCTTATCATGTGACAGACATCAAGTCCACAGCCGGTGGACATGACATGGACGGGCAGTATTTGATATCAAATGGACAGATGGAGCTAGAGAAGCTGTTAGTTTAGCTTGACTCATGCTACAGAAATGAGTTATACCCTTATGTGCACTCTGGTTGGTGCATGTGTGCCCGTGGATTTACCACAGCTTCCTATATACAACGCCGGTATTTCAGTTACAGCATCAGGATGGCTTGGACTATAGCTGGAGACTCCGTAGCAGAGTGCATATATGGACCTTTCAAGGAGGAGCTCTGGCGGCTAACGGGGGTCCAGGGTTGATACCAGGGCGTCTCTGATCCGCTAGAGGCCTAGATCTACCATTTTCAAAGACACGTCGATATCTGTTACTTTATTCACCAGGAATGCGACGTTCCGATTCTTAGCCGGTTTGCTTCAGAGGTCAACAGGAGACATATTCCCAGGAAGCTGCCAATTCATGCTACATTTCAGCTCTATGATTTGCAGATCCAAAATACCCGAGACACAATATTATCTTGCTGTGGGACTAGTTGCTTTTCAAAAACATTTTCAACGATCTCGGAGGGTCCTAATATTGTCTGGCAATATATACACCCCAAACAATTTCATATAAAGGGCAGACGCTGAAGAATTGTGTGTTAGATTCTTCAACGGCAAAGGTGGCGGCTATTTTCCTTCCATGGATTCAAACGGCTGCAGGGTGCGTTTTAGAGTTAACTGCTTTCCTGCCATGTCATACGATACTGGCATGCTGGCTAATAACATCCATAGTAAGTGTCCGTTTATACCGCTCTTATAGCATCGTTTTAATGTCACTCTCTTTCTCCCATCGGATGGAGGGTAAATTTATTCCTGCTGAAATATTAGTTAACTTTTTCAAGGAATCCAGCAAGATGGATCTAGAGAGCGGGATAACATCATAGTTACTAGTTCTTCCTAGGGAAAAGATAGCTATGCAGGTTGCAACTCTGGTAGTTATGCTAGCCGAGGCGCCACGAGCTCCTGCATACGGCATTGAATTGCGGTCGGCATATGGGGTGTCTTCTAATCCAGAGATATCTAGGTCCATGCCTAGGTAACGTCTGTGATACCTTCGGGGCTCCTGGAGCGTAGGTCCGACCCAATTAGATGAAGCAATTATTAACCTCATCACCAGCAGACACGGTGCCGACCGAACTCCGATAAGGACAACTATTTCATTTCATCTTGGCGGCTTCGGTTCAAGTTTATACCTGGGGTAGGATCAATTCAAAGCTGTTGCGAATAAGAGAAGCCACAATATAGTTGCGAATGGTTGGGTCGTTGGCAGGCCTTGTACTAGCCGCGATACACGTACCAGGCAACACCCCTCAACATTTTAACTCATTAGCATACACCGTGGATGTGCGCTTTTGAGCGGCCCCACGCAAACAGCCATAGAGACCTGGGGGCATGTCTGGCCAGGTGACTTCTTTTATGGTTGGGTTAATTATTCTGGCGAGTGTGTATTGATAATCCCGACGGGCTTTCTGGGTAAATCCAAGAAAGAGGATTCTGGAACTACACGAGTGCTCTGGGAATGCTGGTGGCGCAGGCGACCAAGTGGTCCAGGGAGAGCTCTGGATGAGTCAAGCATCGTGATTCGGTTCTCAGGCGTGCCGAGCACTCGGCAATGCTTTACAGGGAGGAAGGGTGTCTTCAATAAAGGCGTGTCCCGATTTGGTCATCCGTTAATACTGCCCTGGATAGGAGAGAGACTACGCTGATGTCATCCGTCTTATAGCCAACTGTCTATATACGGATAATATCCTTTAATGTCCCGAGAAGGGGCACACAGGCACGTTTACTTAGCATGCTCGATATAGCTACAACTTCAGCTGCGAATCCATATCTGGCGAGACATTTCCTATTACATCACATAAGTGTCTCTTAGGGGCAAGGATTGCTCTCAATAGCTCACTCCATCCGATCCATAGCATTCAGCGCCTATGCGAGATCTAGAATACTCAACCGATTAATAAGAGAAATGGACTCCCCAGGTCTCTCTTGCAAACCTGTGGGGGTAGACTTTGCTAATTACTTTTATTTACATAACGTCTATCTTCTTTGCACAGTCTTCTTGTGTATGGATTTCATTTTGTCGCTGCCGGGGACGCAGGGTGATCATGGAATGGTGCTTAACTCCCTTGCTCAATTCCCCATCGCTTACCTAGATGGTCTCCACCAATGTCAGCATGTTGCACCGCTGACTTAAGACCCAATATTTTGTAGTCATGCCAATGGCAATCCTGGCGCTGGTATAGCATCGTGAAAGCCTTTAAAGAGGTAAACGAGCAGTTATGCATGTGAAGGGGGGCCGAGGCGTCTCCAGACTCAGCTTCTCGAACGACGGAGCTTGCCGGGATACAGGGCGAAGAAGACAGGGCGTTGAACGTTGAGAAAGCATTTTTTTGCCGTTAGTGTTACGACTAAGAAGGACCTGAATCTCCCAGATGTTCGAAGAATGATTGAAATTACCATATTCCGTGTCTGAGAAGTCACTTCGAATACGTATTATACGGAGTATGGATCTGTGGATATGTGAGGGATTTGAACGAGATGGTGGGTTAATGTCCTTAGTCGGATACTTCCGGTTACTCGTATGTTTATTCGATCATTTCTCCGCTCCACCTTGTAACCCTTGTAGATGGGCTGAGTTGCTGTCTGTGTTCTCTGCCGCCGAGGACAACGAGGGCCTCCCCTTAAAATATGCCTGAGCAATATATGTGCTGGCAATTGAAGAAAATATGTGCAAACAGCCACTTTAAACAGAAGCAAGGTTAGGTTTAGCCCCCTGGCAGCAGTTTGGTTTTTACCTCAGATGAAAGCAATGCGGTTGGGAGAACGGGATGCATAATGGCTTGCTCAGGCTGGTACTAGACGCTGCTTCCCTCAAGACACGGCCGGAATAAATAAGGACGGGATGGTCGTTTAGGTATATTCTTCAATGCCTGCCTTCCTTTGATGCGGTACTGGACAGGATTAATGGACAGGCAATATTGATGCGAATACGTAAAAAAACAGGCATATATAAGCAGACAGGGAACATGCTTTGGGGTAGTACAAACCTTTCAAGTCCCTTGAACGGCCAAAGCCAGAGGCCTGAATAAGGTTGGGGCAGATCATACACTTGTATGCATTGGATCCCTCTGTCCCATTGCCATCCGGGCCAGTTGCCCTTGCCATAGCCAGGGCGAGAAGGACAGGCCCTTTTTTTTTTTTTTTTTTTTTTTTTCATAAAAATAAACGGAAAAGTATTTAGACGCTGCGCCATATATGCAAATGGGCTGAAGATCCTCAAATTGAAGAATTATACAAAGCATAACCATGATGGGCTCCCCCTGCCCCAAGCGCTGTGGGGTAGCCAACATGGATAACCGCATCAACTGGGAGGCCCGAAAAGAAAATATCCGAGCACCGGACCATAAGTGGCGCCACGAATTGAGGCGGTGGTGTTGCGCGGTTTTCCAAGACGGCGCCAAGGCATATTGAAGCACTGCAAATGCGACCAATTGCAAGGTAGGAGTTAGGTTGGGTTTGTTGTAGGTTTTTCTCAGAGAGTTAGTTTCTTCTGTATGCTCTTATCTGCGTTCCCGTCCTCATGACAGGCATGGCGGGAAAAACATCCGTTCGAATGAGAAAGTCTCCATATGACGAATATGAGGAGGAAGGCTGGTTTCCAACGCCACGACTTCCTTCTAACTCCCCCCCTTCCCCCTTTCCTGCCCTCTGATTGGTATCTCATCGCCGTGTCGCAAGGGGCACGCACACCAACGTCAAGGCCAGGGAAGCAGATGGGAAGAGAATATGGCGCAAGTGCAGAGAGCAAGTATCAGGACTGGATCGATTTGATCGCCGGGCAACAAGGGTAGGCAAGCTGTGTGCGCCGCAGATTCTGGGGACGGAATTCACCATCCGAGAGATCATACAGGAGGCTAACCCATCTCTCACGACTCCATTGTTTGATATGGTCGGGGTATGCTATAGCGGATCAACCTATGGAACGGTTGACTTGATGATATTTCAAGGCAGAAAACAAGTATATCGACCGATATATACCAAGTAGTCCTACACAGTCGATCAGCCAAAGCCGTTCTATGTCCATGTACTCCAAACCAACCTGGGTATCACACCACTGTCATCAACCAAACACCGGTCCTTGCATACGGCGATAGAATCAATGGCTGCCATTGTTCATCCTTGCCATCCCGTCCGGGGAGCAAATGCACATCCTCTCCCCCTTCGGCTCTTTCATGCCATCTATCGCCGTCCATCCTCAGCCGGTCTTGACTCTCTCCAGCCGGGCTTGACGTCCAATTTCACCTTCGGCTTGACCAAAAGAAGTCTAAGGGCCAAAAGTCTATCACGTGACAGACTCTACCAAAACTTGGCTCCTTTTCTCTCTCCCAGATTAAAAGCAAACATGACGGCTTAAACTCGTCAACCAAGTTGACGAGAAGAGAAAAAGAAAGAAAACATCGTTACTCCAAGGCAAATTCACACCTTCACACCGGACTGTGCCAATATAGTCAGTGAGTTACAACATGCATTGCCCTGTTCTGCTCTGCCGTGCCCTGCCCCGATTCTGCCAGGTTATATACCCAATACCAAACCAAGGCTTGCATATCTGCCCATTCCTGGACACGCGATCATTCGCTAGCTAGGAACCGCCAAACAGAAAAGAAACTGTAATGTGAGTGCGCGGAAAGGAACGAATAGGCGACGGTGGAGATGATTGGAGGATGAGAAAGGATGTTGGGATGATCTCGAGCTGAAATTGACGATGGGCAAAAGGGGGTTGGTCAGAAGGGTCGGCTAAATTTTCTTACATGTCACGGAGGACGGCGGGCATATAGGAGATTCCCGACAGAGGGGAACCTAGGCACTTGGATGGAGGCGTTTAGTTTTGCATGTCGGCTGATGCTAATGGGTGGGTGGATGGGAGATTAACTTGTGATACGTACGCAGTATTTGACTGGCTGTATATGCGGGTGAGCGGCTACGGCTCCTCCCATCGCCACAGAGAGAAAACTAAAAAGAGCCGATCAAACAGGGTATAGTTAACCAACTGGAGACAGATGAGATTTGATGGAGAAACCTAGGGTATTTGGGCGATGAAGAAAACAGACAGGTAAATAGATATATCTATGGACACTTATATAAATTAATATTATTATTGGCTCTCTTCATTATCGCTATAACAAAGAAAAGACAAGGACAAGACGTCAACAATTATAGTCTATCACCAAATAAGTTTCAATATTATACTAGTAAGAGAGAACGGGAAAGGGAAAAGCAAATAGAAGAGAGAAATAGGAAACATCGACAAACAAAAGGCAGGGCAGAAACGGAGGTAATAAATAGCAGCTATAAAAAACAGAGTCATCATTGCTTGCTTGCTCGCTGTGCAGTATAGTAATGCATGCAGGTGCTGTTATTTTTAGTTTTGGGTTTTTTTTTTAGGGACACAACCAGTTGCATCATGTTGAGGTGCAATTAAGCGGGCGG